GCACTTTCTCACTTGACAGGAACTCGGGAACAGGTTGCTGTTGTCTTGCAGGGTGTGTCTTCCTTCGGTAGCCGATGCGCAATGCCGTGTGACAAACAATCCAAGATTACGCCTACGTACACGGTAGTGTTGATTGTCTGAAGATATTTGAATAACATTAACATTTATAATCGTGATGAAAATTCTAATCATATTGCGTATTTACTCGTTTGAGCCAAGAAATTTAGCAAGGATGAGATTTCTATCTTGATTTCGTAGGACAAGTAAACGGTCGTATTTATGATATGTACAGGAATAAAGATATGAATTAGTTCTGTTAGTTCTGCTGTAATTACATTCAAACTGTCAATACATGTATATACAATGAGAAACATTTATAATTTATTCGATGTAAATTTTAACATCATTTGGCGAATGTATGCTGGTGTCCGTCCTTGGTGCTGAATGACACAACAACAAGCTTGGTGCCTGTGGAACAAGCACAGAACTAGATGGACGAGGACAAAGACGTGTGTAAAAGTTCTATTTGAATATTTATTCTGATGTTTTTGACATGATATTATGGCAATTATTACTGAGAAAAAAAAAGGTACTTTCTACATTGGTTCAACAGTGTACATGTATGACTATAGTCTGGTTGGCACCTGTATATAATTCTGCCTACACATAAGTAGTTTATGTATTTTTTACAATATGGAAATTCTAAATGGATTTCAACATTGATGAACCACACAATATATGTCATCTGTGAGCCATAAGATGATGTAAATGTATGTAGGCTACGTGGACAAAAGAGTTCTTTGCAGTTAGTAGCTACAAGTACAAATAAAAAACATGATAAAAGATAAAGATTTAAAAAACTACAAGTCACTGCAGCTATCCCATTAAATACATTGCAGCTTGTCCCCTATGACTATGATCTTACACTAGCAGTACAGTTTTCAAACATGATTTTCTTCTTTTTTCTCTTTCTTTCTCTTCGCTATCTTAAAAATCTTCCAGTGTTGTACAAAGTATTGCCAATCCTGTACATGGTACATGATCATTTTTCACTCATCTCGTCATTACAATTTCTTTGGTCCCTCTCAATAAAAAAACTATTGTTTTAAGCGTCTGTAACAGTGACATAGACCTGTACATATTGACTGACCACTGCTTTGTAAGCTCTCTACAACTTCTGTGTAAAACAAGGCAAGGAATCATGATTTGTACGTCAATACAAAATCCTTCTAACAAAGAACTCAGAACGTTGTACTAATTTCTAATAGATATACTGGCTCACTTTGTGCTCTTTACAGTATTTGTGTTTTGGTTCCATGATTTTCCTTGGCTGCTATGATACTTGCATTTCGACTATGGAGATTTGACGTTAAATCTACCTCAAGTATTAGTTTACTCAAATGCTGATACAACTTAAAATTTCTAGATTACAAATGAACAAAATCATGCGTGCTACATCCCATTTCAAGATGGCAGAATTTCTGTAACAGGTATTCTGGTTTGGAGACTTGTCATCATGCTTATATGTTAGGACTTTGTGTAAGTGTGTCATATTACATACTGAGATGGCATTTCAATTCTAAGTCTACCTTAGCAAGCTGAAGTTCAACAAATTACAAATCTTGTTAACTCTTGACTTGATTGGCAGGTAAACATTGAGAAACTTCAAATACAGAATAGTATGCTGAACATGTAATTTGTACTTGAAGTTGGTTTGGCCAAGATTTTGAACTTGAAGTTGGTTTGGACAAGATTTTGAACTTGAAGTTGGTTTGGCCAAGATTTTGAAGTTGGTTTGGACAAGATTTTGAACTTGAAGTTGGTTTGGACAAGATTTTGAACTTGAAGTTGGTTTCTACATGATTTTGAACTTGAAGTTGGTTTCTACATGATTTTGAACTTGAAGTTGGTTTGAACAAAGTTGGTTTGAACATGATGTCAAATATCAAGATATGTTTCACCAACGTTTGTGTTCAACTACAACCAAAAGTTACAGTTTAAAGACAACCTATTAAGACTTGTGGTTTACCCAAGAAGACAAAAATAAATGCATTGGTCTAAAATTTACAGACATCCTAAATACCACAGCATATCTCTGTATGTGCAAGCACTGTACTGTAAATGTTGCATTTAATACTTTTTCCAGTGTACCAGAGCTAAGGACTCTTACAGCAAAAAGAAAAATGAGAATACACATACATGCAGAAGAATACAGAATAAAGAAAACAGTTGAAGTAGGGTCTCCAACCATTCTAAACAGTGTTCTAAAAAGTAAAAATAAGAGAAGTGTTAAGAGGTTCGTGATGAAACCGTTGCACTGACTAGACAGTACCTACTACCTGTGCAAGACATCTTTCTATAACAAAGACATTTTATGTGATAAAATAGCTGCACTTAGGGCATACTGGAACAAAAAAACAAGTCATGCACTATTTGTAGCCGAGATCCTTGTACAGGACTACAGTTATGTACAAGATGCTATACATATCTACAGTGTTTCGAACACTCAGTTCAGACAATGTTGGTATCACTTCAAGTCATTCTTGAATTCTTCATTTTGACTTATGCTTTGTACTGTTTTGAAATACCTCAGAATAATTCCATTATAAATCCACTGCTCGTAAAGTGACAACCAAATTTGAGATATTTCGGAAAAATCTTGAAGTGTTGGTTCAGTCTTACCAGTAAGGAACAGTTTAATCCAATATTGTAAAGAGAATGTTGGTTGTGAGGAATTACACTGGCATTGTGGGGCATTTTTTCATGCTTCATGTCTTTGAGCACTTGTCCTTTCCAACTTATAGCAAGTGCATCTCAATTTCAACTGCACACTTTGAGTGTGCGTGCTGAAATTATCAATGTAGGAATTTCAAGGAAATATACTTTAACAAAATTCTTATGCCAAATTAACGGGGCAGTACTATTTTGATAGCTAGGACTAAACTTGCGACAGTCACCATACTAAGTTTCAGCTATGGTTTCATTACTTCTGGGATGGAAGTATTGTTTCGGGTTGCTCTGGCTTAGTGCGACTTTATACGTTTGGATTCCAGAACATTGCATCAGGCGACATGACAGGAGGTCAAATAAACAAGTAGGAGTATGTGGTGTAATATCTGATGACATTACATCAAACCATCTCCTCCAGTTTTAACACATTAACGAAAACCCAAAACACTTCCCGGAAGCCTGAAATGTCTGATTTCTTTTTGAAGAACATGGTCTTTTTTTTCTGGTGCCCATAGAGTGAGAAGCCTTGTGTCATTCAAGCTGGTACATGTACTTCATACAGACATCTTGTTTGGTGTGTTCCTCCAAGTGTAGGGGCAGACTTTTCTCCTCGATGTACGGCTGGTTACACAGAGAACACTTGAAGAGCGGCGAGCTGTCCTCCGTCATCACGTCTTCCTTCATGAAGTAGGACTCCACCAGCGCCATGGTGAGGTAGATGCACGGTTTGGGCTTCGTGCCGTCCTCGCGAGGCGTGTTGCAGACCTTCTCGTGGTTCTCCAGCGGGGCCCACCGCGGGAACACGGCCTTGCACCGCGGGCACTGGTACACCACGGTCTCCCAGTTGGAAATGTCAATCTTACAGCTGGCCAGGATGCTTCGCACCAGGTCGTTGGGCCTGTCGTTGTTGTGTTGTTGTTGTTGATGGACGTTAGGTGGTGGGGGAGAGGACACCACCATGGTAGGTTGGGGCTGGG